ACAATTATTTCCACGTGTTTTTTGTTTTCTTCATTCTTCTTTGCTGTGTATGAGGAGAGACCCATCATTGCATGTAGGTGGCTACTTGCAAGCTTTTTAGATCCCAATGGCTACTCTCCAAAGTAGGATGTGGAACAATGTTTTTGTGTAGTATGTTATGCCAGTTGAGCTTGATGTCCTCTGTGTCTGCGTATAGTCTTGGTAGTGTTTGATGTCCAGGGATGGAAGAGTCAGCTGGATAGAGGAATGGTTTTTGAATCTGCTACCAGATGGATTCGTATACCTTGCAGCAGTACTCTTGCTTGTTTATAAGGTCATTTTAGTGTCTTTAATCTCTGTCGGCTCAGCACTGGGGCTCAGTACCATTTCTGGTCATTAGGTAGTCGGTTCCATGTACCCAGTGCATTAGTGCATTGTTGTGCTTCTTCCTACTACCTGAAACACTTTCCTCTTTTTCTCCCCTTGCTAACTCTTCAGTAGTTCTGGTGGTGCAGTGGTTAAAGCATCCATCTGGTAACCAAATGTCAGCAATTCAAACCTGCCATCCACTCTTCAGGAGAAAGAGGAGTCAGTCTGCTTCCATAAAGATTTTATAGCCTTGGAAGCCCTGTGGGGCAGTTCTTCTTTGCCCTCTAGGGTCACTATGAGTTGAAATTGACTTCAGGAATGTGGGTTTGTTTTTTTTAGGTTTTGCTAATTCTTCAGTAACTCTTCCCAGAGAAAAAGGTACCTTCTTTATGTTTGCTGTCATTAAATTGACCTTTCTCCATGTTCCCACCCATAATGTTCTGGATATAATTACCTCTATTATGACACTTGAGATACTATTCTGTAATGATTGTCATTTCTATGACAACAGCAGAGCCCTACCTTACATATTTTTGTATCTCAAGTACCTGTGATATAGTAAATGTTCAACAGGTGTCTCCTAAGTCATTAATTTCCTCCAGGTATCTTGTCCTATAATACATGTTAATATAATATATATAATATAAATAGTTTCAGACCATCCCTAAAATCATGCAACTTAAAAAGACCCTCAGAGGGGAGGAAACACTGCAAATATAAGAAAATTAAATTTTAAAAATAAAAATAAATAAAAGACCTTCAGAAATACTTTAAGTTATTTAATTTTTAGAATTTGGTTATGGCTTAGTACATTGATTTGACATACTCATAGTTTAATGGTATGAAAAACTCATGTATAAGATAAAACTTTTTAGGAAGGATTTTATGGTTTATAACAATTAGAAACAATATTTCATCAAAGTTTTTTTTTTCATATTACCCCTTTCTGATGTTTGCAAAGTACTAGAATGGTTTTTGGCTAAGATTATAACTTTTAATTGTTAGTTTTCAGCTAAGGTGCTCTGGTGATGCTGTGGTTAATGCACTTAGCTATTAACCAAAAGGTTGGTGGTTTGAACCCACCAGACTGCTCTGTGGAAGGAAGATGAAGCAGTCTGCTTCTGTAAAGATTTACAGCCTTGGAAACCCAATGGGGGTGTCACTCTGAGTCAGAATCAACTTGATAGCAGTGAGTTCAAGTTTTAACCTGATGAACTAGGTAACTATACTCTGGAAATATCTTTTCCTTACTGGAATGACTTTTTAGTTTGATGTTTGAACATATGGAGAATTTGTAGATCTAACATGCTCAGCTGCTAACCAAAAGATATGCAGGCACACTGTAAAAGAAAGGCTTGGCAATATGGTTCCAGAAAGTCAGCCATTGAAAACTGTATGGAGCACAGTTCTACTCTGATATACATGGGGTCCCCATGTGTTGGTATTGACTCAACAGCATCTGGTGGTAGCAGAGTTTATAGAACAGAGGTCTAGTTACCTTCAGAGAATTCACATGAGACTGGCTCTGAGAGTCTAGACTGTCTTAGATGTGTTGGCATGTTTGTTGCTCTTGCATTATTTTTCATTTTACTGGAATGCTGCCAACTGCTGCTCTTGTAGTGTACAGTGCTGTAAAAAGTACATACTACTGAATTGATGCATGGGTCTGGGGGAGTGTGTGCCCTATTGGTACCTTCGTAGATAACCCAATCACATTTCTTATATACTTGATGTTTACTTTCTAAGAAATTAAAACGTTTGATCAGTGCTATTAGAAGAAACCCATAACTTAACAAAAGATAAGTGTCTTAGAAAGTTTATGATCCCTTCTGCAAAAAAAAAAGTCAACCACTAATGGATTTCTTTGTTGTAGTCACTCATGTTTTTTGGTAAATTAACTTTGGTTATATTATTAAAAACAAGAAAGTGAAGAGAGAAAGAAGAAGAAAGGGAGGGATGGTGGGAACAAGGGAGGAAGAGGACTTAACTATAACTTAAAATGGCAGAATGATTCCAGCAGCATGTTTTAATTTGAGCTCTGAAATGTCATTAAAATCACAGTTTTCCTTTTTCAGTTTTATATCTGATAATCCATATTGGAAAGAAAGACAAAAATATCTTTATCCAGTTTCTAGCTACTTTCCTAAGTTTTTCTTTGCATCTGCTGCCAAATTCTTGAAATGTTTTTTTACAACCATTACTTTTATATTTCCTCTTAATATATTTCATTTTTTGAAAATGCAAAATTTTGATAACATTTAAAAATACCTATTTAAAAAAAACTGCACAGTATATAGTGATGTTGCCTTTCTATCCCAGTCCTCCATCTGTCCAGTTCTTAATACATTCCACCATGAACACAAACCAGTTGTTAATGTCTTAGCATTCCTTCAAGGTTTCCTTATTAATACACAGAGAGCCTCCTCATTATTCATGATACCACATTCTTTTCCTTTGTTAATTATTACCTTTGCTGAAGGCCCTTAATCAGGCTTTATTCCTCTGGTCTGTCAATCATCTCTTATGAGTGTCTGTGTCACTACTCTCAGGCCTTACCCTATTCACAGATACATATATACACATCAGCATAAAAGTATAGAAAGAGAAACTGGGATTACATAGAACCATTAAAGCTCCTCTCAGATAAGTGGGAGAATGAGGACCTGTCTTCTGCATTGTTCCTTTACATTTCTAGGGTGCCAGTCTTCTAACTGTAAAAATTTTAAATGTTTATACTATCTGTATTCTACCCTTTGCCAAAACAAAAACGACACTAATTTTATTGTGGTCAGACAGTCTTATATCTTAATCTGCACATTGCCTGGCAGAGAGTGATTTAAATGTTTGAGCATTCTTGAAAGTTCTGTTACTGGAGCTTGATTCTTTCAATGTCCTCATGGCACCCAGAGAACTCAGCTTGTCTCAGAATTTTGATTGCTACATTTGTATGGATGATTCTTACTCTTCCAGTATCTTATTTTTCTCTGATGTTCCAGACTTTTAAATCTACCTGTAACATAACTATATTATATGTGCTCAAAAAAAAAAAAAAAACAACAAAACTTACTGCTGTGGAGTCAGATCCTACTCATAGTGACCCCTTCTTGCGTTTCCAAGACAGTATCACAACAGAAGTAGATTGTCCAATCTTCCTTCTAAGGAGGGGCTAGTGGGTTTGAACTGCCAGCCTTCTGGTTAGCAGTCAAGTGCCTTAGGCACTATACCATCAGAGCTCCTGTTGTATGTGCTAAGTATATTTATATGTTAATCTTTAATGCAAGGTGTTACGAGATTGTTTTATATATGAAGAAACTTGGCTTCAGAGGGATCACACAATTAGAGACTGCATTTGATTATGCCTGGAACCTCACACTCAAAACTTAGAAAAAAACGTAAGCTTTAGGAGGCCTGTCTTCTAACCTGGGTTTTGCCATATTGACTCTGATGTTCTGCAATTTGCTGTACCTGCATTTCTTCATCTGGAAAATGAAGAAAGGATAAGGAGATTGGACTAGATAGCTAAAATCCCTTCTCACTAGCTAGTTAAGACTTAAGATAAAAATCTAGGGGGTTGTTGACAATGCAGGACCTGTCATGCAGCTCTTCTACACTTCTAAGAGCCTGGCCTACTTACTCCCTATTGAGAGACAAAATGATCCTGCCATGTGCTGCTTTTATTTGATTGGGACTTGGATAGCAAATCACCAGATTTTATTCAGGGGATAGATTTTTCTTTTCCTCCTCAAATTTATTTAATATACTTTTTGTTTTACTAAAAGTATTTGCATTCTCTTAAGGATGATTTTTGTCCATTGATGTTTAAATGATTGTACATACATTAATTCACTACAAAAAAATTTACTCCTTCTTGGAACTGATAAGTATAACCCAGAAATACATACAGGTTGATTCATTTCTTAATTTTTTTCCCCAATGCCTGTAGCCATTGTATCAGTTTTATGCAATAGTTTTATAGAACTAATGAATTTTTAATCATATAGAGAACTATTTTGATATTACTATATTGCATTGGGAGCTCTAGTAGCATAGTGGCTAAAGCACTTGACTGCTAACCAGAAGGCTGGCGGTTCAAACCCACCAGCCACTCCTCGGAAGGAAGGTTGGGCAATCCTACTTCCGTAGTGATACCGCCTCGGAAACCCAAGGAGGAGTAGCTATGAGTCGGGTCCGACTCGATGGCATATAACAACAACAACAACATATTGCATTATAACATAATGTAATCATTAGTAATGAAATGTGATGAGGACCTTGGAATGATCTACGTTTTATCTGTCAGTGTTCTTATGTTTGTTTATTTAAGTATTTAGTATTTTAAACACACATTCTAAAGTGAGGCTTGATTTTTACCTGGGATTTGCTCTGTATAAAGGTGGCTTTTATAGTCTCTACATTAAATAGTGTTATTTTAATAGAAAGAGCTAATGCATTATTGGATAATTATATCAATTAATAGGAAGGACAGTTTTGTGATTTGATGGTAATTTATTAGCAGGTGGTATAAAAAATTAAGTACAACTTCTTTTAGTTGTTATTTACCCAATTTGGACTATTCATGACAATTATTTCAGGAGATTTATTTTAAATATTTTATGGAAAATATTTCAATTACTTTTTTCTTCTTGTTGCAGGAGCTAGAGTTAATGCCAAAGACAGCAAATGGTTGACACCTTTACACAGAGCAGTTGCATCTTGTAGTGAGGTATGAAATTCTTCTTAGTAAAATTTATTGTATATAAAAACATCAAGTTACTAAGTTTGATAATGAGTCCATATTCAAATTTCGTGTTTTACAAGGAAGAACAAAAGTACTGAAAATACTTAGATTGGTTATTTTATTTTAGAATTTGTAAATATCAAGTTATTTGTTCCATTTCACATGTTATAAATGAGTAAGGCCTTAGGCAATCTACTTCCATAATGATGGGCCTTGGAAACCCAAGGAGGGGGTGCTATGAGTCGGATCCAGCTCAACGGATCCAGCTCGACGGCACTGAGTTTTGTTTTGTTTGGTAAGGCCTCTTGGAATGTGAAGTAGCAGAGAGCAGAAAATTCTCCTTTTATTCCTCCTACAAAAGAGAAGTTATTTTTCTATCTTATGAAATCCTCCTCAGAGTTTTTTTTTTCCGTACTGGTTTATATAATAGCCTAATAGATATGTTGCAAAGGTTCTGCTGATAGTGATAAAAAAGTCTCAGCAGCATATGACTATTTGAAATGTTAATGTTTAGTTAAATACTGACATTAGTTGTAAAATACTATTTGATTGCAAATTTTAGCAGTTAAATATATAACCTTAAAGTATGTTAGGTGTCTTATGAAGAACAATTCCTCCTTATTTATAGTATATGTATTATTCCTTCTTAAAGATAACTCACATTATTAGAAAACTTTCAATATTTGCAAAGTATTTAAGGATATGGTTTCATATCTAGTCCTCAGGGCATCTTTCTAAGGTCAAATCAGACCAAACTCACTGTCATGGAGTTGATTTTGACTGAAAGTGAGACCCCCACTGGGTTTCTGAGGCAGTAAATCTTTACAGAAGGAGATTACCCCATTTTCCTTCCGCAGAGTGGCTGGTGGATTTGAACTACCAGTCTTCTGATTAGCAGTCAAATACCTTAGGCACTATTCCACCAGAGTTCCTTTCCTTGTAAAATAGTTATCTGTATTATCATTTATAACTTAGATGAAGAAACTGTGTAGTTAAACGATTTACCAGAAACCACTCAGCTGTCAAGTGGCAGAGCTGGGACAAGAACCCAGACCCCTTTGTGTTACTATCTTTCTAAACTAGAGGGTTTTTTTCCCTGAAAAATGCATTGTTCCCACTCTTAGATAGGTAGAGATAAGTATTTATTTGGGTGAAGAGAAGGGCAGTGTACCAAATGGGAGTGATCAATATGGTGGCATTGAGGAACAGAAGACATAGAGAAGTACATGGGAGGTACAGGCAACAAAGATTAACCTTTTGCACATACAGTACTGCATTGTCAGTGAAGGCAAAACATGGGTATACAGGTGGATAGATGGGTGCACCGGCTGAACTAGTAGATACGTCTGTGAAGTGGGGAGTGTACACAAGACCATGTATAGGATTGGCAGACAGTGGTCCTATAATTTATTTGTATGATCTGAATTCCCAGGTGTATAGTAGAGCTGACAAGGGGCAAGGTTGTAGTCACTTCTTGGTCACAGCTAGCTACCCAGAGGGACCAAGTAGTTGAACCTATGGGCTCAGGTACATAGCCACAGGGGACATCAAGCTCAATTTGTGTAACATACTACACAAAACATTGTTCCACCTCCTACTTTGGCAAGTAGCGACTGGGATCCTAAAAGCTTGCAAGCTGCCATCTAGATGCAACGATGGGTCTCCCCTCATCCAGAGCAAAGAAGAATGAAGAAAACCAAAAATTCATGGAAAGAATTAGTCCTAGCTACTGGTACACCATCCGATCTGCAGCGTATACGACTATGAGACCAGAAGAACTAGATGGTGCCCGGCTAACACTGTCAACCACTTGGAAGGAGATCTTTGTAGGAGATCCTGGATAGAGAGGGAGAACAATATGGAAAAAAACGCAAAATCATTTGGAAAAAAAAAAAAGGGGGGGGGGGGACCAGGTGTGCTGGTCTGATAGAGCCTGGTGGAACCACTGAGACTATGGCCCCTAGCTGCCCTTAAGGTCTGGAATTGAACCCGGACCTGTGGCTTCAAGCCAAACAAAAGACAGGCATATGAGTTGAACATTTACCTGACGTAGCTGCACTCCTTGGAGAGAACAAACAATCATGGAAGAAAGAAGGGCTGTTTATGCACAGGGAGACAGCTAAGGGGGCAGGAGTGTATGGAGGGATAGACACAGGGAAGAGATAACTATTGGGAGGAAGTGGGAGGGGAGCTATTGCATTGTGGTAAATTGTGGTCAATGTCATGAGACAGTGTATGTGAACTGCTGTATGGAAAGTGAATTTGCTGTGTATATTTTCACAAATCACAATTAAAAAAAAAAGAACTATCCCTGTAGTTAGTTATATAAAAAAAACATGCATTATTCCCAAAGTACTCCTTTTATTACAGTGCTTGGTACTTGTTGCACATTTTAAAATATACCTTAAAATATAAAGTGAGTGTATGAGAGAGAGAATTAATGTTAGTCCAGTGTTTCTTTAGTTATTCAGATTGTGAGAGACAATTTTCTCCTTCTCTCCATGATGAGACCAAGTAGTTCTAGAAAAGGAAAGGGGACACTAAGAAGAGAGATTTTTTTCCCCCAAAGAAAATTGGGGGAGCTCCTACCTCTTTCTCTTTGTTCTTTGCTATTCATGTTTGTGAACTACTTCTTGAACCCAGACCAAGAACTCGGCAAGTAAACAGAAGAACAATGAAAAAAGTGACTGGAAATGGTTATAAATTTTGCAGTGTAACAGAGGCAATCTGTTAGTTATAGCTTCCTACTTGGGAGCCTGGATGGAGCAATGGGTACACTCAAGCACACATCTAAACTTGAATCTGAGCCCTTGGTGTGCTGTAGTTGATGAACTAGGGAACTTGGACTTTGAGAGACTGGCTTCAGATATCATTGCCACTTTTTAGGTAAATGATCTTGGGCAAATAAGAGGATTATCATGAAAACAAATGTATTAACCAAGATACTTTGAACTCTGAAATACTATGGAATTGTTTTTAACATTGTCCTCGTTATGTTCCGTTGAGTCAGACCTGACTCATAGTGACCCCTCCCTGGGTTTCCGAGGCAGTATCACTACAGAAGTAGATTGCCCAACCTTCCTTCCAAGGAGTGGCTGGTGGGTTTGAACTGCCAGCCTTCTCATTACCAGTCAAGTGCCTTAGGCACTACACTACCAGAGCTCCCAATATTTGTCATATATCCTGTTTTGGTTACCTACTGCCACTCTGACAAGGATATATCACAAATGGGATGGGCTTAAACAGTTTATTCTCTTACAGTTTGGGAGGCTAGAAGTCCAAGTTCCAAGTGCCAGGCTCTAGGGGCTGTGTGAAAGCCCCTCAACCTTGGGCTTCAGCTCCCTCTTGCTCCTGGCCCACTGAAGCTAGAAGCATCTCTTCACTCAGGCAGCTACTGACTGCTGAGGCTAACAAGCCCAAGGTTGACAAATGAAATGGCACCATCTTGATGTTACCAAACCATACTGCAGGCCTTTAATTCAAGTCCATTGTAAGTCCCAAGGTCAGCAGAGCATGGCAGGCTTCTGAACAATGACATGGTTACATGCAGGGTCCAAGCATGTCATAAGCTGGAGACCATTCCCCAAGGCTTCTCCTTAAGTACAGGAAGCAGATCATATCCCTAAGGCATCTACTCAGCTGTTCACAGTAGATTCTACCATGGAGTTGATTACCAGCTGCCCAGCCACTCAACCAGGCCGAGTCAAGTTGACACACAAACCTAACCACCACAATTGAAATATTGTCGTTAGCCTTCTATAAAGATGTGGGGGGTGAGGGGTGATGACACTTAAGAAGATAAATATTGCTACCATTGGAACCTATCAATAAGTTAATCATACCAACCCATTTTTCACTATGACTCTTGGAAATAAAAATAATAAAATAAAAACGCACGGCCGTTAAATCAATTTCGACTCATAGCAGCCCTTCCTTGGGTTTCCAAGATATGGAAGTAGATTGACCATTCTTCCTTCTGAGGACTGGTGGGTTTGAACCACCTTCTGGTTAGTAGTCAAATACCTTAGGCACTATGCCACCAGAACTCTTGGAAATATTACTATTAAAAATAATGGAGTTTTGCCAGATTAAAATATTGGGGGGGGGGGACTTTGTATATTTGTAGATATTATAAAAAAGAACAAAAATTTTTAAAGGAAGTAATTAATATTAGAGGAAAATGTCAAGTTTCACCCAGATATTTCACTGCTGATTTTTAAAAAAAGTATATACTCAGTCAGAAGTAAGATGTAGGTTAGAGAGCAATGAACTTAATAGGCAATAGGTAGTTTCTTAAGTCTGCTCTTCAGCCTAATTACTGGGCTATGTAGTACAATACTCTCTTGTAGGATTATGGTAAAGTTACAAAATGTCATCATTCCATGAAAATAAAGTTCTCTGAGCCCTGAAGATTTTTGTTTTCAAAAAGAAAAACTCATAATTAGCAAGAATGTTAGAAAACCTAGTTGTGTTAGACTGGGTTCTCTAGAGAAATAAAACCAGTAAAGCTTATACAGAGAGAGAAAGAGAAATTTATCTTAGGAAAATGGCTCACACGCTTATAGAAGCTGGCAAGTCCCAAGTTCTTGGATCAAACGTCAAGCTGGAGGCTTTTCCCAACTCTCGCAGCTGCAAGTACTGAGGAGCTCAAGGTCAGCAGGCAGTATACTGGCTGTTGACTTCAACGAATGACGAATCCAAGATCTCCAAGCTGAATAGTGGATTGTTCACTCATGGGCAGTTGTAAGCAGCACAACAGAATCCCGATCCACAGAAGAGTGTCTCTTTTCCCAGGATGTCCATAAATATACTGGAAGCAGGCCACAGGCCTAGGGAAACTCCCTTTCAACGGATTGGCTGCTCAAAACGTATTCATCTGATCCCATCATGGGGATAACCACATCACAACTGCTTAAACCACATAAAATTGTGGTCCAGCCAGATTGACACACAGCTCCAACTATCACACTAGTCAAGATTATTAATCTCACTGATGTTCTTTTAATAATCTCCTTTATACCCTGATAGTAAAAGGAAGGTATACTTATTTCATTTAATAGAAAACATAGTTTGGCCACACAGTGTTTTGTAAAGAGAGGTGTGTCTTTTCAAAGGCAAAATTTCTGGTAGTTTTATATTTTTTATTTATGTTTTTGAAATAGTGTGAGAGAAGTAATCCTTATAAAAGATGTTTAGAGTGACTGTTTTCTCAGTTCTTCCAAGGATGTACATAGCTAGCACTATTGTAGATGTGTGAGACAGAAGTTAATTCATCACATACAAGGATTCCTTAGGGCTTAGTTTCCTCACTGAACCTGGGTTGAGAAGGACTGCTTCAGGTTAAATATTTCTGTGACATAGTTTTCATACACTTTGCCCTACTAGCTGGCTACCTCACTCTAACTCTACCATTCTGATTTGTGACTGTCATTTTTCAAATGTAGCATACAATTCAGCTTTCTCATAGTACTGAGGATTCCGCTGAATAAATCCTTTCCCGAGTGTAGGGGCTGTTTTTGGTTTGGTGTTCGTTTTTTTTTTTTGTTGTTGTTGTTTTCTTTTTGAAGAAGCCATATCACAGTGCTGGATTCTCTGGAAGGTATGCAGTTGTGCAGTTAATTTTATTTTTTTGCCTAAATTCAGGAATTACGTTTTAGTTCTATCACGATATCTGAGTTTAGATTATATTTTCATGGGAGGTATTAGCAGTCCATCCAGGCTTTATTATTCAGAAGGATAAGAATTGCTGAAAAGTTATAGTCAAGGACAGCCAGTACTGTGGAGGTTCTTGTAGATTGACCATAGACACTTAATAAATACTCTGGATACAGTTATTTAGCATTTTGTCATTACCTCTATATTTTATAATCTATTTAAATAGATATCATGGAGTATTTACTTAGCTGTTCTTTTGAAATCAAGGCAGCATTTCTTGCGTATACTCTCTAGGAATTGAGGTTACTATGGTAATTGTCAGTAGTAAACTATGTTTGTCCTTGGTTACGCCTGTATTATTTTCTAAATCCTAACAGCAGCTGATAATAAGATTTGTAACTTTACTATGATATAACATCAGTCTCATTAGTTTATAGTTTCTAAAAATTCACCTGTTTGTGTGTGTGTGTCTGTCTTTGGAGAGTCTCTGGTTTTCTCTGAAATTCCATAGATCACTGCTGTTGACTGTTAAGCCTTGCCTTATGGTCTTGTTGTTGTTGTTGTTGTTATGGTCTAGCGTGTATTATTCTAAGTAGTGAATAGTGAACTCAGGGTTCAAACCTTTATCTGTCTTAATTCTAGAGTCTTTCTGTCACTGTGCCTTCCTTAAGTGCTATCTTACCTACCCTCACCTACCATGAGCTGGATTATTCTTGCTTTTTATTGGTACAAAAGAAGGTTAGATTTGTATTTTCCTCTTCTTCCTAATGGAATATAAATATTTCCCAAACTCTTGGAGAGTTTAATGTTCTGATTTGTGTTATGAATTCCAGAGTAGGAGTGAGTAAGGAAAGTTGGTATCTATAGTAAGCTGTGTTTGCCCAATTTATCTGATTATAAATTAATTTTATTTTTAATTATTTTCTAGTAATTCACTAATATGCCTACGAACATTTCCCAGTATAGCATTAGTTTTATCCCCCTCCAAGTCACAGTATACCCTTCCTAGGAATGGGAGTGAGGGCAGGGATCCTAACAGTGTTTCTACCTTTCCCCCCCCATAACTTTGAGTACATGTATCCCTTGTGTATCATCCCCTTTCATATTTTTTAATTGTATAATTTGTAATAAAATACTCAGATTTTAAGGGTACACTCTGATTTCTGACAAATGTATACACCTGCATAACCTGTATTATAATCAACATACAGATTTCCATCACAGCATAAGTTTCCTTGTGTCCCTTTTCAGTCATTCCTCTCTCTACAGAGGCAACCACTGTTCCGAATTCTCTCACCATGAGTAGTTATTCCTGTGCTAGAACTTTATAAAAATACAGTCATGCAATAGGTACTCTTTGGTATGTTGATGTCTTTTGCTCAACATAACATTTTTGGGATTCTTTCATATTTTCTGCATCAGTGGTTCATTCTTTTTCATTATTCAGTAGTATTCTACTATATGGTTGTACCACAGTTTGTCTTTTTTTGCATTTTTTGTTTTGGCTCTTATGAATAAAGATGATATGAACAATCTTGGAAGATTGTTCTGTTTTTTCATTTCTCTTGGCTAAATAGGCAACCCTGGTGACACAGTGGTGAAAATGCTCAGCTGCCAATCTTAAGGTTATTGGTTTGAACCCATTAGCCCACTCCATGAGAGAAAGATGTGCCTCCTTAAAGATGGAAAGCCTGTTTTACTCTGCCCCTTAGGGTCTTTATGAGTCAGAATCAACTTGACTGCAGTCAGTTTGGTTTAGGTAAATACTTGTTTTCTATAAGTAATGTGAAGCTGCTGTCTGTATTCTGAAGATTATAGCTGACGGACACCTGTTTATTGGTCTTCCCGGCTAAGTGCTGAGCCAGGCCAGTGGATGTTGTGTCAGAAGTGTCTCCAAAAAGAGAGGTAGACACAGGGTGGAGTCAAAGTGGTTGCACATGGCCACGGCGAGGTTGCACAAATGCGGAGTGGCCCCCACCCACAGGAAGATAGAGTCCATCAGCTGCATAACATGAAAGTGGACAAGTTACTCCCACAACCTTGAGCTAAAGTTGTACAGGGAGACGCCCCTGTCTGCGACAGCCAGCGGCCCTCCATGTCCGCAAGCTCCACTACCCTAACCCTGCTGCCGCTGTCACAAATTCAGTGCGAAAGCTGCTCCATGGGAGAAAGATGAGGGTGTCTGCTTCTGTAAAGATTTATAGCCTTGTAAAACCCTATGTGGCAGTTCTACTCTATCCTGTAGGGTTGCTATGAGTTGGAATCAACTTGATGACGGTGGATTTGTTTTTGAACAGTTAAGAAAATCAAGGGTTTAGTTTTATTAGACTTGAATACTATACTTTGTAAATAACAGAGGTGAGATAAGAACCCAGATTCTGTGCAGTTCTCTTCTGGTCCTTTGTATTTTCATGCATAGTTAGGGTTTTATCTACTAAGATTAAGTTTAGTTCTGATTATACTGCTTAATGTTGGTGGCAGACTGGATTCTTTAGGGTCCTGATGTGAAACCAGTTTATATTTGTGTTGTGAAGTTTTCCATGTTTCTGGGAGACAAATCCCTTTCAGGACTAATTGCTTAAATTGCGTTATTAATGGTTTTCCTGCTAGATGCCATAGCAAAAATTTTGTATGTTTCTCTCTTTTAACACACTAGCTCCTGTTGATTTTAAATTAATTTTTAAATTAACTTTCTCACTAGCTAGAAAAACAAGAAATGAATGTTTTTGAGGAATATTTGTTAATTCTTATACTTTTTGATAGAGATTGTTACCTTTTAATGGGGAGGATAGGAAAATGTTTTATCATGGTGCATCTTATATGACAGAATAGTGCCTTTAGTTCAAAATGCTTTGTTTTCTTGGGTGAATTCCCACTTTGTTATGGCAGGTTCTACAGGTACTTTTATTTCCTCAAGAAATTGTTATTCCCTTCATATATATGTGTGTGTATAACATTTGAAACTGTTAAGTCCTTTGTCTTTTATAACTTTTCATATGTTTTCAGGAAGCAGTTCAGGTACTTTTGAAGCATTCTGCTGATGTTAATGCTCGAGACAAAAACTGGCAAACCCCTTTACACATAGCTGCTGCTAATAAAGCTGTAAAGTGTGCCGAAGCTTTGGTGCCTCTTCTGAGTAATGTAAACGTATCTGATCGAGCAGGGAGAACTGCGTTACATCATGCAGCTTTCAGTGGACATGGTGAGGTAGGTGGTATTGAAGTAGACTGTGGTTCTCTCTGTCCCCCACTCCATATCCACAGTTATTGATGAACTTCCCTTTTTTAACATTTGTCAATCCATGGGTAAAAGCAAACAAAAATATCTTTCTCATTTTGCCCTTCTAGCAAACTTCTAAGACTTTTTCATGCTAATTCAGAGAGTAACTTAGTTTATTTAGCAGATTCTGTACCCACACTTGGATTTTGTAATTCAGCTGGGGTGACTAAGTAGAACTAGAACTGTCAACTATACCACACATGAAAAGTATGTTCTTACTGTGGGGGAACCAAATCCATAGAGAACTGTTGTGCTCCCAGAAGGATAGTATCAGGAGTTTAGAACACACATATTTCCTTACAGTTGGTCATCAGCAGTTAGTCAATAATCTTTAGTGATAGAACCATGAAAAGAAAAGTTTAAGGAAATTTGTGTTTAGTTATCTCTAAATCACCTGTGCTAGTTGTTTATATAGGAAAGGATGGGATTTATGTGTAGACAGAAGACATAGAGGGACACCAAAACCAGAGTTACAAGAGCCTTTTAAGGCCATCTTTTTTAGTCTTTCATTTTTGTTGTACACACAGAAACTCAAAGAAATAAAAAAAATTCCCAAAATTCATGAGCTGATGTTTTCAGTATCCTTCTCACTATGTCCTCTGCTTTTGCAAGCATAAAGATAAAAGAGCCTTTGCCTCTGCTGCAATTAGGTAACAAGATGTGAAATTTGAAATTTCCATTTTTATTTGAAATTTAGAATGCCCCTTTCCATGGGGAAACTAAATATGGTTGGGGGTAATAGAAATATTATTCTTGGACATTACGAGGTAAGTAGACATCCAGGTTTAATCATATTGTGGCTGTTAGGAATGTGTTTAAAATAAATTCAAGACATTTCTGGGACTAGAATATACTTACATTTTAATAATGTCTTGGACTATGAAGCACTCAGTTGCTATCTGAAAGATGAACTATTCGATCCCACCAGCTGTTCTGCAGGAGTAGTGGCAATCTGCTTCCATAAAGATTTGCAGCCTTGGAAACTCTATGAGGCAGTTCTGCACTGCCCTATAGAGTCACTATGAGTCAGAATTGACTTTTCAGCAATAAATTTGGTTTTTGGCTTTTATTTTTAAAATACAAATGACATCTTAAAAGGATCTGAATGGCTGACTTCAATAATACCCACAGTGAACCATTTTTTTTTCATATTTTGTTCTATTATTTATTAAATGATATTTATAAAGTATCTTCAGTGTACAGACTATCATGTTTAAAATATGATATTAAAATGTCTCTTTACTACAAATGGAGAAATGAAATCCCAAAGAAAATTGAAACAGGCAGTTGTTACCAGGAATATTTATGAACAGTTCTACTTCTGACATTTAATGAAACTGTGTTTGCTTTTATTCCAGATGGTTAAATTACTCCTGTCTAGAGGTGCCAATATTAATGCTTTTGACAAGAAAGATAGGCGTGCTATCCATTGGGCAGCATATATGGGTATGTGCTTTTTAAATTTATTTTTTGACATTATGTATTCAGGAAAAATTTGAGTGTTTGCTGTTGGCATGATATCTGTCTTTTAAACTATTAAAGAAAAGTTACACCACATCTGAGTTTGCTGCCTAAGTGGAATCAGCCTGGTGGAAGGGTAGACTTATTTATCTATAAAGAAAGAGGTATCTGAGAAATAGGCCTGTTGTTGTTGTTGTTGTTGTGTGCCTTCGAGTCAGCCCTGACTCATAGCGACCCCTCCTTGGGTTTCCGAGGCAGTATCACTACGGAAGTAGGATTGCCCAACCTTCCTTCCGAGGAGTGGCTGGTGGGTTTGAACCGCCAGCCTTCTGGTGAGCAGGCAAGTGTCTTAGCCACTATGCTACCAGAACTCCTAGAAATAGGCCTAGGATACATAATTCAGGATCAATGTTCTCTGAAAGCCCATTCTCATAACCATTCTTATTTTTATGGAGATATAAGGCTGAAGCTATGAGGATGCCTTAAGAATCCTATCTTTGTGGGCCAGACACTAGATTAAATATATATATCATCATGTTTGGTTTCTGTAACATTAATTTCACAGGAAGAAACTGAGTACAGGTTTTTCTGCTGTACATGTATTCTTGAAAATGTTTATGATCTGCAAAATTACACTTTAAAAATAATAGAGTTCACGAGGACTATAGGCCTGAGTAGACCACCCAAAACCTATGCAACTTGGTGACCAGAGTGCTTGCAAAAGACATTCATTGATTCTTGAGATAATTTGGACAGCCAGGAAGGTAGATCAGCCTGCCTCAGCATGTTTTAAAATGTACAAACACAGTAGAGTAGAAATGTTGGTTTGTGAATGCTAAGACCATGCAGATGGAAATAAATCTCCAGATATGGAGGAAGTATAACCTGCCACAAACTTCACAGATTTTGCAAGGCTGGGGTTTTACCTCTCTTGGAGGAAGCCATGGATACAGTTTCTTAAAATAGATCTGAAAAAACTCTTCCCGTTTCATCCATAGAGTTGAGAGGGTTTTTCCTTTGCTTAAGGAGTTCTGGTAGTGTAGTGGGTAAGGCATTTGGCTGCTAACCAGAAGGTCGGCAGTTCAAACCCACCAGCTGCTCCATGTAAGAAAGATGAGGCAATCTGTTTCTGTAAAGATTGACCACCTCAGAAACCTATTTGGGGATCTTTGTGAGTTGGAATTGTCTCAGTGGCGCAGGGGTTTCCTCTTCTTGGCAAAGGTTGTGTTTTGGATTCTGCTGTTCTGGCTCCCCTGGCCTAGGAAAAATCACTAGGCCAGAAGAGGGGAACTGACGTATCTTCTGTGTAAAGTGAGTAATATTCTCTGATTTAGCAGTTAAACTACCTAATTACACAGTCTTGCTAGTTACTTTCTTTCCCTCATTAAGTATTCCCTCACTCTTTGTTTTGTTTTTTCCTATCTCTTATATTAAAATGAATGGGCGATTATTAATTTCGAAATTCTATTAAAAAATTATAAAATAGAAAGGTACAAAAAAAAACCAAATAAATGCAAACCAGTTATACCAAAACAACCCAGACTCACTGCCATCGAATTGATTCCAACTCATAGTGACCCCCATTGGGTTTCCAAGGCAGTAAATCTTTACAGAAGTAGATTTCCCTGTCTTCCTTCTGCAGAGTGGGTGGTGGGTTTGAATCACCAACCTTCTGGTTAGCAGTCAAATGCCTTAGGCACTGTACCACCAGACCTCCTTCAAACCAGTTATAAATACTCCAGAGGAACAGGAAAATCTTTCGCCTGTAATAGAAATAATCACAAGCAATAGAATTCATCTTGAATTACAGATTTGGCCTTCATTGTGTTTGTAAGGGAAGATCAAAAGTGAAGGTCCCTGAAAGTTACTGGTTCTCTTTTATGTCTCTATTTTAAAAGCCAAAGGTCAGTACCTTTAGTGATGTCATGTGTACTTTTCTTTTGCTAATTGCTGTAAAACAACCTTAAGCAAGCCTCATAGGGTTCCTGAAGTCTCCTCACACAGCCTTATAGAGTTTTCCATTTTTAAGTCTTGGGAACTTTTTTGGGGGGGTGGGGGGGAGTTCCCGTGGCATAGTGCCTAAGGCATTTGACTGCTAACGAAAAGGCTTTTGGTTCAAACCCACCAGCCACTGCTTAGAAGGAAGATTGGGCGATCTACTTCCCTAGTGATATTGCCTCGGAAACCCAAAGAGGGGTCCCTATGAGTCGGATCCGACTCGACGGCAGCATACAACAACAACAGGGACTTTTTTGACTATCCATTGCTTATTCATCAGGACAGTGTAGGAACAGCTAGTTTGTTGACTTAAAATTATTCACCTTATATTAAAGAGTTTTCATGTTGAGCAGAGTACATCAGTCTTTTACCTCCAAAGAATTTGGCTTGATTAAGCCACAGTTAGGGAGCTCTGGTAGCGTAGTGCCTAAGGTCCTTGACTGCTAACCAGAAAGCTGGTGGTTCAAACCCACAAGCCACTCCCCGGAAGGAAAGTTGGACAATCTACTTAGGTAGTGCTACTGCCTTGGAAACTCAAAGGGGGGGGGGGTCGCTATGGGTCGCATACAACTCCACGGCAATGGTTGTGTGAGTTGTGTGAAGCAACAGTTAAGGAGTTTTGGTGGCACAGTGGTTAAAGTGTTTTGCTACTAACCAAAAGGTGGGAAGATCAAACCCACCAGCTGCTCTGCTTCAAGGGAGAAAGATGAGGAAGACTGCTTCTGTAGAGATTTACAGCCTTGGAAACCCCATGGGGTGGTACTACTCAGTCCTCTAAGTTTATGTGAGTGGGAATTGACTTGATGGCAGTGAGTTTGGTTTTTTTGTTTTGGAGCAACTGTTTTCATGGAACTAAAAGGGAGACTTTGTGGGTTGCTTCTAGTTAAGTTTACAGAATAGCTCTGTATTGGTAACACAGGGCTTTATTGTCCCTGATTCACGAGGTGTCACTTTTCAGGCACTCACTTTTGTACCTCACCATTCCACTGATTTTTGAGTCCAAACAATGAGAGATTAGTAATTATGCTTCCCCCACACACACACACTTTGCTTTAATCATATAGCAAGAATATTGACACTTACCTTCTAAAACAATTCACCTGTTCTAGGCATTCAGGATTAAAGAGAGATAAACTTGTAATTAGGGAGCTATTAACTGGTCACTGATCTCACAGACAACCCTGAAGTCCAGTTAACATTCAGAGAATCCATAAACAGACATTAGTAGTCTTGTAATTTCTTTCTCACAGGCTTCCTTATTACTCTTGGCTGCCTCTACCTTGATTGTGGCTCCCTTGGTTTTCTATGTTAGTTTCTATCTTTTATGTTGATGTTATTATTAAATTCTCTATTGATGTACTCCAGCCCCACCTCTGTCTCCCCAAGTGAATCGATTATTCCCTCCTCCTCACCCTATAGTGGTTCCCACCTTCATGAAGATCCTTACATATATTCAGCTTTCATCAAGATCTTTTATACATCACCTTTTCTATTGCTTTCAGTACTTTTAGCAATATCCAGCCAAGTTCTGCCTAAAATTATCTTACCATGGATGACTTGACACAGAAGATACTGAATAAATATTAATTTGATTAATAGCTTATTATTTCTTCTTGAAGTAATGCATAATTTGAATGGATGTGAAATTGTGTTTTTTTTCTTCCCGCCTTTCTTTCCCTAAAAACTTACAAATTCTAAACATAATTCATTTTTCTATTCTTGTACACTCATGAACAAAAAAAAATTGTCCTGCCATTATTTTTAGTTGCAAATTCCTAAGCAGTAGTGATTACATTTATCACGTTCATATGTGCATTGATAAGATTTTTTTGAAGGATGCTGTCATTGACTATAGAATTATATATACTGTTATGACTGATGGATGCCATCTTCTAAAAACAGACCTAGCTGAATTAAATGAAATTTTGTCCCACAGTGACATTATTCTGTAAATTGACAAGGAAGACACACTTTTTCTAGCCATTGTTCACCTAACTAGATCAATATCATTTATTTCACTGTAGAACATCCCTTTTTTCTTTTAAATGACACCCACAAATTGGCTATGCAAAGGCCCTTCATGTTTTTGATAGTCCACTAAAGTAATATACCCGTATTTCTGAAATACACTCACACAAATACATTGTCAATTTTAAGATGGTGAGTTTGCCTATATGTAGACCCCTTTAAGAATTTATAAGGTCGCAGTAAGGAGAAGAGGATGCACAAAAGTGGGGTTAAAGAGAAGTTTTTATTCTGTGCTCCCAGGAGAGGTTTACGGGTCCCTGAGGGGCCCGGGTGTTCACGGGTCCCTGAGAGAGGCCAGAGAAGTCGCACTGCCCAGGTGAAAGAAAGGGGTTTTTATAGTGATTTTCTTCCTGGTTCTTAGAGGACCAGATTGAGAGCAGGGTATGTGTTACAAGAACCAATAAGGTTAAAGTACCTTACTAGCATGGGGGTAGAAAGCAGAGTTGAAGCACTTCATTAACATAGTGGGCAGGAAATGGTTGGGGACTTTTGTGAGTAAGAGTCAGGTGCTGGGGTTTTTCGTAAGTAAGGGTTACAAATGCTGCGGTTTGGTATGGGCTCTGGTCAGGTGTCTCCTTGCTTGACCTGTTCTTATAATTCCCTCCGGCTCAATCATTCACCCACCTGGCCAGCCATGTTTCTGCCTAACAGAAATAATTTAAAATAAGTTGAAGTATATCTTTACCAAATAACAAAATACAATTTTAAGTATTAATATTATAAAGATTTCCATTAGTTTATGTGTATATATCTGTTGATTCTTTTTTCTTTTTTTTTTTTTAATGCATTTTATTGAAATATAATTTATGTATAGTGAAATACACAAAACTAAAGTGACATGGTTCAGTGCATTTTTTTTTTCCACAGTGTTCCCTCCCCTCCCATCTCACTCCTGGCAACCAACAAAGAAAGTTTCCCTCCATATATAAACCTTTTCTTGACTGTCCACAACAATGAAC